ATAAGGAGACTATTTTATATATTGTCAATTGTGTAATAGTTAACACGATAAACTCTTTTCTTTTTTCAAAGTTTGTATTTAAGAAAAAAAAAGGTAATATGATACGTGTCTGTGAATTTTCAACGCATTTATTTCATCCTGTTCAGCATTTGTTCAATATCTATCATTTTTTCGTTCATTCATTCATTCATTCAGTAAGTAAGTAAGTAATATTACTTGTCAGAGCATAGTTTTTGCTGAGGATTTCATTTCAAAAACTGATTTTCACATCATTTGCTTTTTTTCCCCTGGCAAACCGAGATTCACCACAATGGCGTATTCACAGATAACATACATAGATAATTTTAGATGATTGAAATTAAGTCCCCTATAAAATCTGAATTCATATCTACTAATGATCCAATAAATAAACGTTAAAAAAATATTTGAAAATGCTAAGATATTGTATTTTTATTGAACATTAAAAATGGATGGTTATCCTAACACCAAATTCATTTCATGTTAGAAAAATTGATAATTTTGTCATCAGATTAGTCAATATACAAGTAAGTAACATTAACCATTATAAAATCAAGTATAGGCTAGTATAATATTGATGAAATAAATGAGAGAAATAAAACACATCTCGCGAACCAATTTTAAAAGATATAAGTGGATTCATCCCTGAATTTATTTATTTATTAAAAACTGACTCTATCTGTCATCAAAGTGGGAAACAATATTACTATTCTTCCTTAAGAAGAGCTTAATCTGTATCTATTGAAACTTGGTAAACGATTAAACAGAATGCCAGAGATTACTTTTTCACATCTATCAAAGAGAAAATGTGTAGGTTAATGTGTAATATTGTTTCTTCGAAGTAAATAATTCACTGTCTTAAGCAATCAGTGTACCGAGTGTATCAGAGACTGTAAGAATTCTAGACCTACACTTCATGCGAGGTGACACTCATTAGCATAGTTTACCTGCTATATCAAACTGTGAAGCTTGGTGATGAAGGTTCGAATCTCAAAGAGAGCATCAGCTACTTTAAAATTACGAGTTCCAGGTAGCATGAGTCCAAAACCACTAGTCAACTACCTACAGCTGCCAGATAACATTTTAACATAATTCGATGTTGAGTCAGTTAAAGTGATGACCACATTCCAGCTTGACCGATGGGACTCAATCAGTACTAAATAGAACTAAATAAATATGAAACTGGTGACTACTCACTTATCAATCAGTTGTATTCAATTATATCTGTTGCATGGTTAATTATAAATATCAGAATATTACTGTCACAATTACAGTCTGATATTTAACAGTTCATTTATATTAAATAGGATAGCTATAAAAGCCTTTTTTTATCAAAAGTTCAAACCGACTTATGATTTTTGTCTGACTTTCACCATACAGTGAAAGGAAGATAAGACACTAAATATACTCATTGTAAACAGAATATTATTTTACATCTATGATTAATTGAACCGATCAATCAGAAATAGAGGTGAAAATAATTATAAATAGTAAAAATGTCTCTTTGAAAGAATAACAACAAACTAATGATTTTCATTTGAAAAATATTAGATTGTAATTAGATTTTTATAATTTGTTAGATATCATAAATAGTAATAGACTAGCTCTAAAACACGAAAATCCTGACCTCGGTCTCTAGGAGGGTTATGGGTGAGTATTAATGGAGAATTTCATCATATGACGAAAGAGTTTCAAACAAGTGTTTCATAATTTCAAGTGGTTGTTTATGTAACATAAGTTCATGATATAAACTATTATCTAAAGAAGATTGATCACAGTGCCTAACCTCATAAACATTCCTGATTGTATTACTTGATATCAAAATGTTATAGTGTAATGGTGGTATTTAATCTATGATTAGTGGTCCAAACCAATAAACACATACAAAAATTAATAACTATTACGTAATTCTACTCTATTTATTAGACCTGTTAACAGCGAAATCTGTTCGAATAATTAATTTTAGGTCAAATTATTGTTAAATTAGTAACCAAGATAAGTCAAATTAATAAGTTAAACTCACCTTAACTTATAACACCTATGCATCTAGCAAGGGGTTTTCGTAACGATCTTAGGATTCAGAAAGCCAAGTTGGCCTTTACCGACTTACATCACTTATGACTAAGGCAAGATATCTGTTTGGCAACTAAAGGACGAGTTTACTATGATGCATTTCGCTCCATTCTAACTTATGGGTGTGAAACACGAGATAGTGAATCTCTACCGACCGGAATGATTGGGACATGTATTGCTCATTCCCATTCACTAAATACTCCAATACGCGACGATGGCTAATGTAGGAGTAGATTAGAAGAAGGATGGAGGTGACCGAACCAAGACATGACATCAGTTCATAAAGATATTAACTGTCGGATTGATCAGACTACGTTGTTGGGATTCGAGTGGTTATTGTGAACGATTATTAGAGTTCTTGAATATCATGGCTTAAAATCGTTTACAATAAAGCTTTTGCATCCATTCTTTGTGTTCTCCCAAATCCTGAGATTTTAAATTCCACATAATTCCTTTTTGGTTTTATTTCATTAATTTATATTCTGTATTCGAGTCAAAGCCTAAATGCTTAAACTTTCCAATTACCACTGATACTGTTACTACCTCTGCTCTTATGGATTTTAGCTTAAAAGCTTCATAGCGGTGTGCTGATGGGGTATGACAACTTGAACCGATGTAAATACGTACAGTTTGTTTCTTGTGACTAACTAACTGACTATTTAAATTCAGTCGTTCATCATGTAAAATGACAATGTTTGAGCAAAGGATATTGATCATGAATCTTAAATTGATCATCAACGCTCAGAACCTAAGTACCTAAGTTGCACAAAGATTGATTGTTATTTCACTAATCGTATCTTGAATACCTAATTTTTCCTACTACCACTGACACTGATATCACCTGTATTATGCTGGTATTCGCCCTGACAATTTTGATTCGTAGTGCTTATGGAACACAGCAATTTAAACTAATGTACACATATGCCAGACCCTACGTTGAGTAAGACTGACTGACGGACTAAAAATTAATCACTTTATTGAATTAGTTACAAACTACTTATTCCATCCAGAAGTAGTAGTTTTTCTACTGATCAGTTGTATTTTTTTAATAAATTATCTTTCACTGATATTGGTTGTCATTGAAATTGCACAAGAGATTTATGTCTCTTCTCTTCATAATTTTTGGCAACCTTAATAATAATACTACTACTAATAATAATAATCGAAGTAATAATCATTGCAACGAACAAGCGTATGTGTGTACGTCATATGCAATTAAATAAGTATCTTTCTCCCCTCTTTTTCTCCTTCGAGTATATCATTTTCTTGAACAGTATTAAGATAATATTGTCTGCTAGCTATCATGATAACAGTGAATACGTTTCATTTCGCTTGATCTGCATCAAAAATATAGATAAAAAGTGGAATAGATATTTTTCTAATAGCATGTAATAAGGGGGAATTGATCAAATTGACATTATCATTATCACCATCATCATCAATATCACTATCGGTAACAACAACTATAATGTTATCCAAAATTAAAAAAATTCACTTGCTTTTTGTCTTTTATGTGATGCTTTCACTTCCTGTCATTTTTTCGCCTTCTCACTCACTCATTCACTACTTCGCTTGCTCTCCATCTCTCTGAATCTCCACCTACTCATCCGTAGCCAACATAAGCCTGCCTTCATTCACCGTATGTTGCTCACCTGAGATGAATAATAAAATGTTGAGAATAGAATGAGTTTTTTCACGCAAAACAGAAAAAAATTGAACTCAGCGTTGACAACAAAAAAACGAAAGATGATAGATGAATAAGTGCGCTCTGGCAGCAGCGAAAAAGATAGAAAGATCTAGAGTAAAATCTGTGTGTGTATTTCTGTTCACTAGCTTCTTTTTTATTCTGCTGTCTGAAAATATGCAATAACAGCCACCATAATGCTTTTTAAAGGGGAATAATAACAGCTGACATTAAAACAACTATTATTTTCTTTCCTTAGCTCAATAAATAAATTTTAAGAGTATGAGGGTGAGAGGCAGTGACTCATCAAGGACTATGGAAGGTAGTCGCGCAATATCGTGGATTAATTGAAGTTAGATATTAACACCATCTGATGCAGGCTCAATGGTCTAGAGGTTAAGCGTTTTCACGCGAGACCGAATGTTCTGAGCCCGAATCTCGTGAGCGGGATCGTGGATGCACTGCTGCGGAGTCCCATACTGTTCAGTATTTCCAGGTTTTCATTGGTAGTCTAGCTTAGATCAACTCGTGAATTCAACCGTGAAAATAGTAATTAGTAGTTTTTACATTTCATATAGAATTTCTTGAATAATTCATAAGTATTCTTTTTCATTTTGATAACAAATAAAAACTTTTTATTAATAGTATTGAAATTTCATTTTGTATGGGTGAACGTTACGAGTATAATAGAACAATATGATTAGATCTACATACTTATACACTTCGACAGAACCTAAGTTGATATAAGATCAACCACACAGCAATAGTCAGTGTTATATTGTCCTAACCTCAATAATGATTGATTTTTCTATCTTTCGTTTTGAAATGTGGCTATGAGTCTGGGTGGCTAGATATAACGGTACACTTTGTTTGACCCCTTTTTGGTAGATGTATTGGTAAGACACGGTGAAGTTATACATGGACGCATGACGTTCAGTTTTGCTCTCAAATTCTTAACCACCATACCATTAAGTCGGCATGCAATAGTCTTAGTATCTAACCGTAATAATATATCATTTTGACTAGTTACAATTTAATTCGACAAACAGGAAATCAAATGATTATTCCATCAACAAAATGACCAAAATTTATTGAGAAACTGTTTGCTAACAAGTTATGGGAAGCAACGGTTAAGTTTGTCCTTAATTTCAAATTATGTTTCATTCAATACAGTTTAATGTGGTTAAACATCTTAGTTTTGCTAATTGTTCTTGTTTTTTTAAAGGTAAACCTATTCAATGTTGGATTCCACAAGAGTTTACGCGTGGTTGGGAAGAATATGCTGAGAATTATTGCTGGGTATCGAATACTTATTTTGCTCCATTACAGCATAGTTTACCTCCAGCACCGGATAGAGAGATGTTACTTATCGGTTACTATCAATGGGCACCAATTGTAATGGCTATACAAGCTATGTTATTTTATTTACCATGTCTTATATGGCGTTTATTTATGGCTCAGTCAGGTTTCAACGTCAGACGTATTCTACAAATGTCATGTGATTCTAATGTTCTACTACCAGAGCATACAATGAAAAATGTACGCTTTATAGCTCGTTATATGGAAGGTTGTATTTATAGACAAAGAGATTATAGGAAAAGAAAATTATCAACAGTTTTAGGATTTTCTCCTACAAGTTACACTGGTCTTGGACAATCACCACATATACATGTTCATCAACACTATTCACCTTCTTATCCTCCTCATCTTCATCAACAACAACAACCACATCCACATCTGCACCATCCCCCTCCACCACCACCACCTCATTCACATACCCAATCACCACCATATATGCCTACAAGTCATCTTCATCAGCAATTAACAACAGTTAATTCAAGACAATCACCTATAGGCGGTGATGAAAATCGTTACAACAATGATCATCAAATAGAATCCACATTGATTACATCACCACGTCGTGATTCTAATACATCATTATTCGATAAAATCAGACATAGTTTCTCTATAGATGATAATAATAAAAAAAGTAAAAAACGATTACCATCTGTTACAGAAGAAGCTAATACATTAGTTACAACAATGGAAACATTAAATTCTAGAAATAGTGGTGATTATCATCCAATGATTGGACGTTTAAAAATTGATGATAGTCATACTCAACAAAATATAACAACAAATGTGAATACAACAAATTCATATCGTTCTATTCATACATTATCACCTACATTATATAAATCACAAGAAAAATCATCATTAAATTTACATAAGAAACAACATTTTCATTATTGTTGTACATGTTTTTGTGGTAAACGTCAGGGAAATTTTTTAGTTCTCTTATATTTTTTCACTAAATTCTTATATTTAACAAATATTATTGGACAATTATTTATGATGGAAAAATTTGTTGGTAATGATAGTACATTTTATGGATTTCGTGTATTATATGATTTATTAAAAGGACGTGAATGGTTTCATTCGGGTAATTTTCCACGTGTAACATTTTGTGATTTTGAAGCGAAAAAACTTGGAAAAAATCATAAGTAAGTTAATTTTTTTTTAATTTTTATTTTATTGATTTCTTGTGTAGTGAACAAAGACTTAATTGGAGAAGATCAATTTGTTATCTTATGCATAATTGCATAGTCTCCTAGTAAAACACGAAAACCATACACTAAGTCCATTATTTGCATATCTTCCATCGGTTGTCCTTTACATACTTCATGATTATTTTAATTCCGTTATCATTATAGTTATTCTATTTTTATATTCTTTTTCTCTTCAATTCGATCTTCTCACTCTTCTGATGCTAGGGATTTTACATCTGATGGGTGTTACACACTACTTGTATCTGTCAACATAAGTAGCATACACCACAGTTGTATACCTAAAATAAAAGGAAATCGTATTTCATTAAACTTGATTGAATAGATTGAAACAGTAACAATTTTAGCACCATTAGATTACTTAGATTTATTTATGGTAGGGTAGAAATAGGTTAAAATAATGAGATTTTAATTGGTTGCTTGATTAAAACCCTTTTTGTTAGAATGAAACCAAAGTGAATCAAATTTCAGTAATGAAATGTCTGTATAGTGTTTGACAAATGATATATATTTATTATCAGAATGGGTTTTGTGGAGATTTTAGAAATTTCACAGATAGAAATCATGAGTCAGTTGAAGCTAGACCACCATTGAAAACCTGGAAGCAATGGACGGCCGTTTCGTCCTAGTATGGGACTCCTCAGCAGTGCGCATCCACGACCCCGCACCACCCGGGGCTCGAACCCAGGACCTACTGGCTTCGCGCGCGAGCACTTAACCATTAGAGGAGTCCCATACTAGGACGAAACGGCCGTCCAGTGCTTCCAGGTTTTCAATGGTGGTCTAGCTTCAAATGACTCATGTTTTTTATATATATTTATATATATGCTTTCATTAAACGACTAGTGATGATTACGTAATTAAGGACTTTAATTTTTAGTAGGTGAATAATCTATACTCATTTAGTTCCCCACTGATTGGTCTCAACAGAAATATTCGAGTCAGAATCTATGTAATGATGAATAGAAATATGGAAATAGATAAACGGATATAAATTTATATGACACCAAAATTATAGATTGAAAATTCTATTTCAGAATATTAATTTTTACAAAATTCTTTTTATTTTTGAATGCTGGTTAAATCGTGAACAAAATTTCACTAATTTGCATTTATCAGTAATTAATTTATGTGTAGTTGAAGTGAACTCATCCAGTCATAAAATCATTATATGTTACACCGAAAAAACGGTGTTTAGCTACAGCTGTTAACATTTACCATTTATACATTTAAAAGGTCAACCTGATATGAACATCTAATGTAATAATACCTATTTAGAAATTAACTTTTCCGAAGTTCTTATCTGTTAGTTTACCTGGGTGATAATCATGTTGATTTTTCATATGACATCGGTGTCTTGTACTTGTACATTTAAAAGTAAGATGGTGAATTAACAAATCAAAGAATCTGATTTTCAGTTCTTTTTTTCAATTAATTATTTTTATTATTATTAGTTCAATGGAATTTGAATAATGATGCATTGTCGTATCTTACAGTAGTAAGCACAGTTACATTACGAAATTACTCCCATTAAATTGAAAACAGTCTAGATTGAACAGTTTCGCGCATAAAATTAAGATGATGAAAGTAAAATATATTCTGTTTTGGAAAAGTTCATTTGAATTATAAATTAATCTCCGTTAGACAACCATTGGAAATCTGGAAGAATCAGACGATCATCTAGTCCTAGGGTGGGACTCCTCAGAAGAGTGCATCTACGATTAACTCCGAGAAGAAATTTAGAAACTTCAAATGAGAAGTCGTGATCAGTGGAACTAGTTCCTGTTGAGTTTGAGACAGTTACTCGATGAAGGCAATGGGAGATGGTCGTGCAATATCGTGGGTTGGTTGAATTCATAAATTAACACCATGGGATCCCGAATTGACTATCTAGAAGTCAGGTGTTCGTGCACGAGACCAAAGTTCCTAGCTTAAGACTTCGTGCGGGGTCGTGATTGAGAACCATTGAAGGGCCCAATGATAAGACGAAACGCTCATTCAGTGCTTCCAGGTTTAAAACGGCTGATTAACATGGTCTGGTTCATGATTTAAAAGAAATTTAACAATCTACACAACACTTTACTAAGGAAAATTGTTTGATAAGAAAAAAATTAAGTTGACCAAGTTCTGTTGAAATTCGTTTACATCATAGGTTTCATTTGACACAGAACGATTTTCTTTGGTGTACCACTGGAGAGCACTGAAGAGTCGCCCCCCCCAGTATAGGACTTCTCAGCAGTGTACAGCCATGAACCCAGAAGGTTTTGAATCCATGACATTCAAGATTACCGGAACCATAATGAATTGCTGTTCAAATAGGTTTACATAAAACAGTATCTAATCAAATCACATATAATTTTATACTACTATCAATAAAATCCCATTCTTCAGTGTTTCAGTCTACAATACCAGCGTAAATTTTAACTGAAACTTGTTCATCATAAACCGCTTTGAAATAATTCACTAGTTGTCATAAAACGTTAAATAATAAAATTGTAAAATAAACGACGTGGTTGATTATTCTAAGTTTGATCTTATTCAAGTTTTGCATAAATCTATCTGTCTGTATGTATGTGTGCGTGTGAAATGTCCGTAAAGTAGATTTTCAGACTGTATTACAGTTATCCAATATATGTACATTTATAACTGGATGGAAAAGAAAGCCAAACTAAATTATATGCTACACAGAAAAATAACGTATTTTAAATACACTAACATAAGTGAATTTAATGATTATAAGATAGAGGTTAAGATGATAATGAACTCAAGGAAATAAGCGTGTGCACTTCATGCATAAATGCCAACCTGTATGCACTCAACATGTATATGATATTTCATGATTATTTCTTTTACAAACCAGAAAAAAATTCGAGTTACATGTGTATTGGTTGTATGTAACTTTTCATTTTTCCGTAATCATTATAATCTGAAATATAATTTTATTACCATCCGGTCTAGTAATACATATGTGTGTGTGTGCGTGAGTTCGTGCATGTATCCATGTGCAGTTCATACAGAAACACCTATACATACACTTACATTTTACAGACCACACAAAATCTAAGGCTTATCTAAAAAGATATAAAAAAGAATTGTTTTTTAGAAAAAAAAAGTAAGCAAATGGTTTCCCTTTTTATTTAATCGAATATTTAAATCAGAAATGAATTATGTGTCTGTTATTAATATCACCTAGCATAAAACATAATTTACACATTTAATTTTTTAATAATGAGTTAATGAAGGAAAATATTTTGAAAAATTTCAAACTCATTGTCTATTTCTACATTGAGAGTTTTATCAAAAAGGGTTTCGTGGAGATCTTAGTAATTTTAATAGTTGAAATCATGAGTCAATCGAAGCTAGAGCACCATGGAAAACATAGAAGCACTTGACGACCGTTTCGTCCTAGTATGAGCCTTCTCAGCAGCACGCATCCACGATCCCGCCTCCCGTAATATTCGAACCCAGGACCTAAACGTCTCGCGCGCGAACGCTTGTTTTGTTACAAAAACGTCAATTCGATTAATGTAATCATTACCCATCTGTTCAGTATATAGAGGATTTATGATCGTAACTTGGTAATGTCTACACCAAGTAAAGAAAACGATGAGTTCGTACTTAACAATTGGTGTGCATTACTGAGGAGTTTTATACTAAGCACAAAACATCTGTTCAGTGCTTCCCGGTCTATCGTCCTTCCCTTACTGGTGTCAGTTCGTGTGATCAACACAGAAATTGACTCTGTGGTTTCATCGTTGTAATCTTTATATATATATATATATTCCAAAAAGAAATTGTAATCATACACTGTAAGATTTCATTGAGCTTGTTTGAAATGCTCGATCAGAATGACTGACATATGATGGCATATCAACCAATGAACAACTAAATACCAATTTACTCATATTTTGCATGATATATATATAGCATATAATTTTGTTTGGCACTCATCAATTTTAATATGAAATTTAACTGTTATAGTATGATATAATTGCTTTGAGTTTGATAATCTGTGGGTAGTCATAAGTAGCTTCAATTAGACATTAATGCTTTTATTATAGATTGGCTCCAGCTTATGGATCACTGAAAACCTTAGGGGACAGGACATTTGTGTCGTTCTGGTAGAAGAGACTTCGAAAATCAAACCCAAGATCTAAGGTCTTGCGTGTGAACGTTTAACCTATGGACTACTGAGCCTGAATTCAATAGTTTTTATATTTAACTTCAACAGTTTAGCGATATAACTCAAACAAATTCTACCGCTTAATTTGGAAGTTATTCCGGAAATTCTACTAAGAAGCCATGACTAGTGAAGTTCGTCGGTGTCGGATAAGTTACAGTTATCAACCTCATGCATTAGAAGTTAATCACCCAATACATCAAGTTGATTGAACTTAGACGTGTACACCTTTGGATACTGGCTCATTGGACTAAAGGTTAATTAGTCTCCATGAGAGCAGAAGGTCTTCGGTTCGATCAGGTCGAATTAGTTTTTGTTTACTGCTAAGAAATCTCTAGTTTTCAATAATTGTTTAAGATAGATGTCTGACAGATAAAATAGAATTGTCATTGGAAAACAACTTTACTGGAATATAATGTGCAGGTTGTAAACAGTCGTAACTGTTACACATTTTAACTAACCAAAACAGGTCAACTAACCATTAAATGATTTAAATCAGATGGTTGAAATGTTCATCAAATTAAAATTGAACTTAATAAACTAACATCAGTCTACAGACATAACTTTCACAATCGAAATGAAGTGTAATCAAATACAATCTGTGTAATACAGTGATCTAGAATAATATTTACTCTCTTCGTTTCAAGTATTATCTAAGTTATATTATTTACTGTCAAATCTTTGCATTCGTATATACAGTTATTCCATATGTAGTGAAACTTTTACAGGATGTAATATTCTTTTACGTAAAACTATA